AAATCGTTTTCTATTTCTAGTCGTGAAAAATGATTTTGTTTAGAAATTCATTTGGTAAGATTTGATGTTTAGTTGCGAAAATGATTTGGCATTGTAAGACTAAACTTAAAAAAGGAGAAATTTAACCTATTTTCCGAATTAGATTTTAAAGTTTTTTAATCAGTTTTTAAATCACATTTCTTTATGTTTAATATTCATTTCATATGGTATAGTTTGGTTTTTTTATAAGGTCTAAAATGCGGTTGCATATGTGATATGTCAATATCATCAATTAACGTAAGTTAGGTTCACCTATTTTATTTGGATAACGCTTTAATTATATTGTACGGGGAGCAAAACGGCACGTCGTATGTCTCCGCGGAAGGAAAACGACAACACATCTGTCATAATTTGTTTAATGATTATCATAAGTTAAAAAACGAATAATTTAACTTATGGTAGACAAGAGAATTTTAAAAATGTTTCCCACCGACAAAAGAGGAGTTGTCGTGGGTAATTAGGAATCAAAAATATTTTACACTGTTTTATTCTTTCGACTTAGTTTAATATTCTCTACATTCCTAATTAAATGTCATGTAAGATTATCTTTTGTTTTAAATAAATATTGTTTTTACTGCCAATATTAATATTTGACATCAATAATCAATTTAGTTTTTTTTTATCAATTTAGTTTCTAAAAGTATAATAAAAATACCAATTTATATTTTGTGATCTTTATTATATAAAGTCTTTTAAATAATGCTATCGTAATTTTTAATGCATCACATAATAGAATAATTTGTTAAGGGATATAAAAAAATTATTTTACTTGTAAAAATAGAGAATAAAAAATATTAAACTTTTTTCAATTTGATTTATGAAAGGAACAAAATTTGTGACCATAACATGGATTTATATATAAATATAATTTTTTTTTATTATAATTTAAAAAATTTCGCACCGTTTTCATTCTACTTCATAAACATTAGTGATATACTGTATAAACTAAAGAAATTGTTTAAAGATAAAATTAGATGTCATTGTCATCTTTACTCGGTTCTTGCTGGCACTTGCTTGACAGTTCAAGTTAAGATTCACTTTGCCCAAATTAGAATCAATGAAAAAGTTTCCAATATAAATTAATTTAATACATTAGCCCATACATAGACGAAACATAGAAACTTCTACTAGTGGTCTCAAATGTAAATTACATTAATTACGACTAATCCAAAAAGATTATCCTCTTCATAAACAAATTGGAAAGTTTGAGCGTTTCGTCGGTCAAATATGAACTTTTTTTTTTAATTGAGAAATCAAGAAACCAAAAAAAAAAAAAAACACATGATGAGATGTTTAACGAATTAATTATCCCATATATTAGTTGCAACTTGCAAACCACGTACAATAATTGATATCGAACTATTCAAAATCATTTTATTTTGTTAAGCAAAGAAAAATCATTTTATATTCAAGAAAATTGGTTGAGAAAAAAAGAAAAAAAATTCGGCAAAAGCAATGATGTGACAATTTAAAGAGCCAATCATAGCCAAATACTTCATATAGTGATCTTCATAGTGTGATCTCCATTATATAAAAGTTACATTTTATATAAAAAAATACGATTATACAAAT